AATGACAAGTAAGGGGTACAATAAGTGCTAACAACGTCAAATAAAGTATGTAGGAGCAGAATAACAATGAGAGACATAACCCATCAGGACAACTCAATTAAAGGCATGGAAAGAGTTTAGATAACCTAAATCGGTCAAATACCACATATAGCCCATGTACCCACTCGTCACCTTGCGTACACGACTTTCACGTAATACAATTAGCACAATCAACTCGAATCCTGAGGGGTAGTTTCCCCCACACAAAGTTAGGCATGACACTTACCTCAATTCGGCCAAATCAATACTCAAATTAGCTTTTTCTTTACAAATTCACCTCCGCTCGGATCAATCTAGAAAAAGATGACTTAAATACATCAAACAATGCAAGAGAAAACAATTTCAATTAACAAAGCTATGATCTTTGTACAATTTCTAAAAAGTTAACAAAAGTCAACCCCGGGCTCGCCCGGTCAAAACCCGGGTCCAAGGGTAGGTCTTGATTACTCATAGCCCCACGAGTCCATATACGTATTTTGTTTCCAAATTCGAGTCTAATTTGACTCTCAAATCCCCAAATTTTATTTTTCAAAACTTTGACAAAAATCTCCAAATTTTCCCTTAGTTCTCATGAATTTGATGTTAAATCTAATAGATAATCACGAAATATAATTGAAAATTAATTAAAATTACTTACCCAATAGTTTGATATGAAAATCCTTCCACAAAATCGCCTCTCATCGAGGCTAGGGTTCAAAACATGACAAAATGAAGCTAAGTCTCGGAATACTCAACTATATGCAGGCTGTAGATGTCGCATTTGCGACACGGGGTTCGCAATTGCGACCCTCACAAAAGCGAAGAATCCTTAGCAAAAGCGACACTTGAACAGTTCTGATGCCTTTGCAAATGCGACAAAAATATCGCAAATGCGGACACTGGTCTTTCGCAAAAGCGACCAGTTGGTCGCACAAGCGACCCTACCCAGCCCAGGCCTTCATCGCAAATGCGATGTAGAGTCCGCAAATGCGAACTTTACAGGCTTCGCAAAAGCGATCATTTCTTCGCAAATGCGAATCCCTTCCCCAGCAGCCCAGGTTCGCAAATGTGGTAGTCACATTGCTACAAAAATATTGCAAATGTGATGGAACCAGTATCAGCACTCAACAACTTAACAAAATCAATCTGAAACCCATCCGAAACTCACCCGAGCCTCCGAGGCTCCAAATCAAACACCCACACCAATCCAATAACATAACACGAACTCGATCGTGCGATCAAAATAACCTCTAGAAGTATGAATCGGACGCCAAAATACATGAAAATCACAATGAACTTCAAGAACTTCTAGAATCGCAACCAACCGTCTGAACCATATCAAATCAACTTCAAATGACACCGAATTATGCAGGCAAGTTTCATATGACGAAACATACCTATTTCAAGTCCCGAAACTAAAATTCGAACCCGATAGCCTTAAAGTCAAGCCATGGTCAAACTTAGAAAAATTCTAAACCTTTAACTTGCCAACATCCGCCAAATGATGTCGAAACCTTCTAGAAACATCCAAATACAAATTCGGGCATATTCCCAAGTCCAAAATCTCCATCCGGACCTACCGGAGCCATCAAAGCTCCGATCCGAGGTCAAATACTTAAAAGTCAACCTTGATCGATTCTTTCAACTTCGAGCTTCTCAAATGAGAGTCGCTCCTGAAAATCATTTCCGAACCACTCAAAAACCCGAGCCGATGATGCACGCAAGTCATAATACACTATGTGAAGTTAATCATGACCTCAAACTGCCGAACCGAACGCAACTGCTCAAAACGATCAGTCGGGTCATTACAATATAAGGTAAATTTTGTTATGATTTTATTGAACTTAAATTTTCTTTTTTAAAGAATTAACTTAGTATAACATAAAGAATTAAGCACATTCCACAAGATAATATGGTACTTCCCACAAGATTTCGACTTTTGTTTTCTTTTTTAATTAAATTTTTAATTTTTGTTCTTTCTAACCTTGAAGCATTTATAGTACCGATGAAGAACCGTTAATTTTGTCTTTTAAACCTTTTTAGTTGTCAAATTTAGAAGTAAAAGTAGTCTCGCGTTGTTCCTAAAATATATTGTTCAAATAAGAAATAATTTATATAACCACCTTACACAATCCAAAATTTTAGTTGATTACTAAGTCCTAAATATTAGGAAAATAATTAAATTATGATTTTGTCTAATGTGTAATATATTTTTTTTTTAAAAATGAACAACATTCCGCTAAGAATTTTCATATTTTTAATATAGTATATTAATGAGTTTGAGTTTGAAATCTCAGTATTATTTATTCTATTTATTATACTTATTTATTGAATTCTTTAAAATATATACAAAATTAAAAATATTAAAGAAATTATTTGTGAGATACAAACATGATAGAGGTTCTTCCTGAATGGTATTCAGAAGGCATTTTTGGGGCGAGTCTCGGGAGGCGTAGTAAAAAGTAAAAATCACATCTGAATAATTTCGGGAGCGAAAACATTCTGAAAAGTTTAGGAACTTAAAGGTCAATTTTTTTTTATTCTTGGCCCTAAATTTTATTATTCTCTTCATCTTCTACGGGGTAAAAAAATAAAGAATCAATTTTACAAAATAAAAATACATTATCCTTCAAGATCTACTTTGGTTCAATGCTTCTGATTGTAGGTTCCTTCTTTGCTTTCTTTAATTTCAAGTTATTTTGCTCTTTCAAATTAGTTTATAATTTTTTATTGATTTCTTTTCAAAACTTAATTAGTTTTTCTTTTTTGAAGTAGTTTCGATTAGTTTTTAAGTCAATTGCGGATAAAAATTAGTGATTTAAGATGAAGTAGTTTTATATACATATTACTTATTTTATATTTTTTTTGAATTTCTATGTAGTTTTACTTTATCTAAATATTTATTTTTTCTCATATTAATTTATGATATATTAGATATTAACGATCATGTGGCTTACGCTTAGTACCTTGAGGCTTATGTCTTGCCTCGTAGCAGGTAAAGTGCCTCGCTTCACGCCTTTTAAGACACTATTTAGGAGAAATAGCTTCAGACTACGTTCAAATACCAATTTTGCGCTAGTTACAGTCTATTAAAAAGATAAATATTTGGGAAAACTATAAAATTAGTCGGCCGGTGGAAACTAATTGCATTTGTTAGTCAAAAAGTGTATAAAATATACAGGCAGAATACATCGGGAGCCCCTTAACGTTGTCCACACTTTTCACTTAAGCACTCCATCTTAAGTCTGTTCCATTTGAACACTTTAATCAGACCCTCAGTGTGTTATTTAGACACAAAATTGATAGGCAGATAACCACAAAAGGTGCGCGTAATTCACGTGCCAAAGTGACGAATAAAACGAGGACATGTTGACTTAACTTAGAGAAATTTAAAAAGCTTTAAAAAAGGAAAAAAGAAAAAGAAAAAAAATAGCATGAAGGTGCCGACCGGTGAATGTCGAAGTTGCAGAAAGCTGCCAAGTCGTGGACTCAATTCTCTTCTCTGCTTTAGTTCAGATTCAATAAGATGGGGAACAAAAAAATCCTCCAAATTTTTGATTCTTTATACTAAACCCACTTTCCTATCATTAACCACACCTTGGATCCATATCCGACGAAAGAACAACGAAAATAAAAGATAAATAATCTCACCTTCTCTATTTGTATCCCTCGGTTTCTCCTATGCATCTGTAACTGCAAAATTCTAGTTCTCTTGTCCCATCCTATAGTGCTTGCACCTTTTTCTCACTCACCAGTTTTCATTCTTCCCTTTTAATTTTTTCCATTATTTTTCGGTTATCATTAGGTGTTTTCCACCATTAGTTCCGGCAACAATTTTCTCGCACCTCCAGCGAGAACTTTACCCAATTTTTACTTCGCCAACGTCTTTCTTCTTTCTTCCAATTGGCTAGGTTTTCGATTGAACTACCGTAAGTCCCATTAACCGAAATTTTACATTAGAGCTTGGTTGGGAAAAAACAAATGATAAGTTTATAGTGGGGATGTGCTAAGATTTAAAGGAGGATACGGTAGTAATAGGGTGAACAAATCGAAAAAAATTAAAAGAGAAGTTCACCAGGAAAAAAATTCCGGCAGAAGCTATTCATTTTCGGACAAAAAGTATGTGGAGTTTATTTTTTGGATGATTCCACGCGCTTGAAAATGTAAGAAATACTTACCTTGCCGTGCCAGTATTTTGTGTCTAAATGACACACTAAAGACCTGGTTTAAGTGTTCAAATGGAACATACTTAAGATAGAGTGTCTAAATAAGAAATGTGGACAACCTTAAAGGGATGTCGATGTACTATGCCAAATCTATATATATTATATGTATATAATATACATATCTACAACAAAATAATAGTTTATCAGTTATTTTCTTAAAGCGGCTAAAATATATATTTGTCTAAATATTTCACACCTAAAGTTTTTCAAATTTAAACTTAAAACCTTTAATTAAAAAGAGAAGAATCTCTTCCACGAATATACTTTCTACCATGAGGGTCTTCTTGCTAGTCTATACGGCCTATACATTAACATTGACCTTCTTCCCTTTTTGTTGCTCTTATTATCTCTTGGCCACGTGGAATCAAGACTTTAGTCCCATACACCAATAGTAACAATTTATATTTTAATACGATCTGAATCTAATCTTTGCACAGGTTTAGAGGTTTTCCGAATCATGGCATCTTGAAATATATAAATGTCACACTAAACGTTAACTACTACCTGAATGCAAATTAATTGTTGTATAGTACATAGTCCTATGCTTCCCCACTATTTAATTAGTACTTGGAAATAATTTTTTAAAATAAAGTTCTAAAATGACAATAAAGGGTTTATGAAGGGTTCTTTGCCTGCTTCTCTTTGGATCCTTTGTGCTCTGAAAATTTTCTGTACATCTTGTCGGAAGAAAAATAAACCCAACTCCTCCTCCTATTCATAAATGAGCCCATCGTATCCTGTCCCACTCACATTCCAATGACTCGCACCGCTTCCCAAAACAGGACCCGTACCCGAACCCGCCGTCTCTCCGCTTGTTACCGCCACCCGTCGGAGCCGGTCACCGGCATCTGCGCCGCATGCTTGCGTGAACGCCTCTCCGGTCTTGACCCGGAAACTTCTATTATTCCTACATTCTTGCATTCTCTCGAAAAACCAGATGCTAATATTGGACCCGAACCCGAACCCGGATTGTATTCTCCGGATCTCCGGCGTTGTAGGTCTGTTTCTACTGCCAGGTGTGAAGGTTCTAGTAGCTATTCGGAGCCACGTCGGAGATCTTGCGACGATAGGTCGTCCCGGAACACCCTTGAAAATCTATTCGGAGTTGATGACGTGGCGGGTGGGTCGCATGCTAGTTTCAATGTTGAATCGAAGAACCTGGGATTAACGAATTTGTCTGATAATGTTTGTAAGTCAATAGTTGAGCATAAAAACAGTGAAGAAATTAGGATTCGAGCTGATATAGAAGAAGATACTGAAGATGGAGAGCTGAAGACAATGAAAGAGTTCATAGATCTCGAATTTCACACCAAAATAAACAAATCGAGGGATCTTAAAGACATTGCCGGGAATTTTAGGGAAAAAGCTTCAGTCTTTAGCAAGAAATTGCAAAAATGGAGGCAAAAACAGAGGGAAAAGAAGCTTAATAGTAGCAGAAACGGCAAGCTGATAGGTTATAAATTAAAAGATAATGGGTCTGAGATTGGGGAATGTGCAATTGGAAGGAGATCTTGTGATATAGAACCTCGATTTTCAGTCGATGCTGGACAATTGGAAGGGCCTAGGATTTCAATTGATGAGCCTAGAGCTTCTTGGGATGGATATATGGTAGCCAGGACTATTCCTAGGTTGACACCAATGTTATCAGTTGTTGAAAATGTGCTTTTAGGAGGGACTGGAAATGGGTTTGATAAGCATAGATCATCACTTGATGGGCAAATGCAGGCTATAGTTGAAGATGAGAGTAGTTCTTCAGGTGGATCAGGGCAGTCCAATTCGGATTCTTCATCATCACAACGGGGAGGAAGTAGTTTTGATAGGTCGAGTTCTGTTAGGAGTTTTGGCAAGAGGACAATGGATTTGGAGGTTAATGAAGGCAAGTGTATGGCGAATTCATCTCCTGCTCATGTCAAGTTGGTTTTTACTGAGAGGGAATTGAAAGATTGGCACTTGAATTCTATCAACAATGAGCATTTGGCTAAGTTTGAGTCATTTTCCAAGAATGGAATTGTTGCTGAAAGTTGTGGTACCAATAAGGGGTTTAAGAAGTCTACTCGGTGGCGAGAGGTGTTCAATCTCTTTGGTAACAAGCATAAGGTCAATAACAAGCGAGAAACCCGAAAAGGAGAAGGAGAAACCTTCAGTTCAGTCACTGATATTAATGAGAAGCAAGTGGACAAGGGTTATGATGATGTAAAAGAGGCTGCTCAGTGGAGGCTTACGCGCAGCAGCAGCATAATTGGGGCTAGAAAATCCTGCAGCAGCTCTTACGTTCCTGCTAGGAATTCCTGCAGCAGCACTTTTGATCAGCCTAGGAGTTCGTTGGATTTGACTGAACTAAACCGCAGTAAGAAGAAAGTTGCTGAAAGTGCTGCGTCTACAAACTTTGGCAGGGGTGCATTTGTGCTGGAGAGGAACAAGAGTGTCAAATGCTCTTCAAATGACATTGATAATGGTACGTTGCCATTCTATTTGATGCCATTGAGGAGTTCTAGGAGATGTAAATCCAGTGAGAACAAGTTAACGAAGCCCCTTTACGCCACTGGCAATGTTTTGCACTGAATTTAAAAGGAAGATACTAATGTAGTTCATCCCGTATCTGATTTTGTAAAAAACGATTTGTATTTGTCTGTATCAGCATATCAGGTTACTTGGCAATATCAAAATGCTTTCTTTATAATGAATAGCTCAAATTTTGACCTTTACTTCACCTTTTCATTTATCTACCCTGAATGGTACCAACATTGTGTGAAAATGGGATTAGAAGAACCTGATCCGAGTGGATAGCACCTGCCTTGTGATGTTGCTGACTTTGATGTAGAAGTCCCATTCTTTAGCAGGGACGTGTAAGATAGTACTTGTTGCATCTACTTCTTTGTTTCTATGTGATAGCTACTTGTGATTGACAATATTTAGTGTTTTATGAGGATAAATACAGCTCTTATTTTCTTGAATTGCACATTTAGAAATCTTAGAGAAAGACTGCTTTTGATTACCTTGTGCAAAGCCACCCTCATATATATATCTTAGAAGTGATTATTTCAATAAATCTGAAGACACATATTGGTAAATTCCTCTTTTTCTTAATGGTACAAGATTCTAAACTGGAATGATCAAGATTCTTCTCGTTTCTACTTGCATGGCCGAACAACCTCCAGCCCCTTACACACTAGGTCCATTTCCTTTCTTTTCCTTTTTTAAAAAAAAAAAACTTTTGGGATGACGTGCTCACTGCTATCCTTCCCTTTTGGCATAATGATAAATTCAGCTCCTGAGGGGTAGGGACACTGCTTGTCATTTCTTAGAACCAAATATGAGTCCTTCTCGTCGAGTGATCTTTGTTCCTGTCCTTGTATCCCCTTCGCTTCCCCAGCCGCTGCTTCTAAGGTGCAAGTACTCCTTTCTTTTCTGAAATTTATTTGTTCAAATTATACAATAACACTGTCACTGCTATGTCTTGATGTGAATTGACAAGCCTTGATGAACATGCCTTGAGATATTCAAACAATGTCAACAGTTGTTTGGAGCATCTCCCTGACCTCTCAGTCCCTTGTCTTCTCTATCTGTTTGAAGTTTAGTCTTGTTAATTTGTAGCAGAGTTAGTAGTTTCAGTTAGGGCTCAAAATCTGTTGGGTGGAGGTTGTATGTCTTTTTGCTGTTAATGCTGCTAAAGGATGAATGTTGGTTAAAGCAGTCACTCATTTATAATAATAATTTATTAGAGGCAAACTTACTCTTGCATGCATTTAACTTCAAGGAAGTCTGATTTTCCTTCTACTAATTCTGTGTTTGAAACAGAGGAGTATAATGGTGAAGAAAGGTCATTTTGAGGCTAATTGCGTGTAATTTTTAGTGCCTATTTTGACTCTCATATGCCATGGTGATAGAGCTGTAACGTTAGTACATTACATGTGCGGTGAGAAGAATTGGAGGAGATGGACTGGAATCCCAGAGTTAATATTAGAAGAAAGGAGGACTCAGTAGTTGAGTTTTTACTCAACCATTTCAGGGTTGAGGGGTTTTCACTGGGAGTTACAGCCTGCTCAAGTGCCCCAGAAAGCTGCTTAAAATGGAATTACTTTTAGAATTGCAAGATACCAAATCATAGTTCTTGATGTGATGAGGTGGGTAGCTATAAGAAATTAGCAATCATCATAGCTCAAACTATGAACAGTTGAGGAGTGATTGACCTATTGACCTTCAAAGTCTAAATGATGAACAAATCAATGTGCTAATTTGATGGCTTTTTAGTTAGTTATTTTGTGCGTGAAAGCGTGGTCCAGAAGATGTTCTAAAGTATGCACTATTCTTTGAGATTACTCGATTTCTAGCATGTCAAAGTCTTTTCTTATTCAAAACATTCAAGAAAGGAAAGATGGATTGGGAAATGGCGACTCGAAATTTATGAAAGCGCCGCAAAGAGCTTGTCTTGTGGTTGTGACCATTATCAACAAGAGGAGTTCCCATGCATAATGTGATGAAATGGTTAGCTTTTTAAAAAATAAAGAGAAACCGTGGTGCTTTTATAGAATAGAGATTTCAAGAAGAAAAAAATGTTTGTGAAATTCAACTTTAAATTACTTTCAACCCAAACCACATAAAAGCAAAAAAGTAATTTTATGATAATTCCCCGATTCAACTATATTCTTGTAAATTTAAATTAAGACACTCAGAATATTTGGTATGACGGAAGTCATTTCTATGAAGATGGATGTAAGATCTTGCGTTAGCCATATGATTTTTTTACAGAGGAAACAAATAAGAAGCAATGTACCTGTCAAATGATACAAATTGTAGCAATCAGTGTATTTACGTATAGTTTTGTTGTGCTTTCCTATCAGACCTCAAAACTTGGCATCAATATCCAAAAAATGTGACCTTTTCATGGCTTTACAACCTATGTAAAATGTGAACCCCATCCCAGAATTTTTCCCAGGAGGGATTAAGGGAACAGTAGAATACATGTCTCTTTGTATATTCAATTTTTATGTCAACCAAAAATGAATGTGTAATGATACTTCTAATCTCATCGTCGACCAGTTAAGTAACTTCTCTTTGCAGGTTTAGAACTAGAGGATGCACCTTTTTTGGATCGATTCCTTTTCCGAGAAGCCTTGGAAGTAGGGGCCTGCTCGTCCCCCTCCTCATCATCAGTGTCAATTATTTTACAACCTGACCTAGTCTGTGAGCTGATCCGCTGAGGAACGTGAACATTGAAATAATAGTTGACAATGTTCTGCCTAGTCTTGGAAGGAAGAGATGCTAATGCTGGTTTCAAGAAGCTTTTACCTTGAGTCATCCGATTCGTCTTAACAAGGGAGCTGAACTTTTTTTGTTCCTCAGGGTTCCATAAGTTCGAAATTTCTTCTCCCATCTCATCGAATTTCCAGATATCAAAGGCTGTCCCCAATTCAGGCTTCAACTTCATCCTTTCTTCTTTAACATGACTTTTAACACATTCAACAGATTCAGGGGACTCACAAGGACAATATTCATTTCTCCCTTCCCCAATCAACTCCTTGTTAACTTCCTTGTTTCCTAGGTTGTCGTCTGTTGGCCATACTAGTGTTCCCAACCATTTTGAAGTATCAGATTCATTCTCTTTAAGCCTGCCTTTATCTTCCTTCTGTGGGTCAGTCCAATCTGGAATTTCAACCTGAAACCTGGGTCCTACTGGGATTACCAATTTGTAGCGATCATCATAGATGTAATCTAACCATTCTGTTTTCTTGTCACCTGTTGGATTCGGTACTTCTTTTACATTCTGCATACTTCATGAGTAGAAGAACAAGTATGAATGAGTTTGTAGAGTTTATCTTCTACTGAGTATATCACCGTTCCTCAAGCAACAGAGAGTAGTATTTGAACTCAAAACTTTGATATAAAAGAGATCGTTGTTTTATAGGATGTTGTGTCTAGCTAGTGAAGCAGAGTCAAGCATGAATGGAGGCGTTGGTTGAGTGAAAGGGTTATCCAAGTTTCTTGTTTGACACCAGTACAAGCCTTTAGCATCCACTTAAGCAGCCCTTCTATGCATGCCAAAAAGAAGCAACAAAATTATTTGAGAAATTACACAGAGGGTAAGTGGCGAAGTTCGGAGGTAATACTGGACTCTGAAGAAAAACAAAGTTGCATAATAGATTAATAGTAATGGTAATTCACAAAGAGCAATGATTTTATTAGCACAAGTCTCATCAGGAACCAGATTTAAGACCCCTCCCTCGAATATCAAGCAAACACCGTAAGCTCAGAGCAACTACTTTGAAAATCTTCTGATACATCTGTTAGCAAAATATGGCCTTCCTGACCGTACGCATGTATTTATACATATCTCCTGTACATATACTTGGACTTCTAGAAGATTAGTGTACATGCAACGTATATAGATAATTAATGGTACAGTGACCAAAGTCAAGAATCTGACTAAGTTTCATTCAAGTATACATGACCAAAGTCATAAACTTGTCAAGGTTAAACGAATGAACCATCTATATACAAAGTACATTCATATGGAAAATATAAATGAATATTATATGAATTAATTAAGTTACGTTAACCAAAGTCAAGTAACTATTTAGAGGAAGAATTAATAGTCCTTGTTCATTAGGACTCTTGATGGGTAAGGTCATGAAGAGAGACTTTAAAAGTGAGTAAATGAAAGTGGAACAAGACTCTATATTAATAAGTTCACATGTTGTAAATCAAAACCCTAACATGTTGATGGCAAAATGAAGATTGTATAGACACTATTGGTTATGTATTCCGCATTAGCTGGTGAACACAAAGGGAGACAACTATTAAATATCATACACGTTTTACTTTATTTCATGACATAAGGTATGTTTTACTCTTATGTTGTTTCTCTCAATTTATAGATTTAAGCCTAAGATCATACCATTTCTTACAATGTGTACGGGCTACATTGGTGTTTTAAACGGTTGAAGGCAATTTGTCGAACTAAGTAGCTTCAGCCAACCAAATACATCAACGGGGACAATGAAAGAGCACAAAGGAAAACAGCAAATTCGAAATCAGTTCAAGCTCAATTTCTCAAAATAGGTGTCTATCTCTTAAGAATTAATTACAGCCAAGTTTGGTTTCATTTGATTCTTGGCCTTTTCCTACTATGTTAAGGTGTTCTTTAACCTGCATTTTTGAGTTCTACTCTGGCATTTCTACTTTCTTTAGACAGGATTACTCAAATTTGCAAAAGTTACTACTTTACAACTACAAAACAAGAATCATGCATAGCCCTAAACAAATTATGATCGACTATATGATTCCTCACTGACCATGTTTCCAATTTAAATTTTATCTCATATCAACAATATACAAAATAATAATAATAACGAAAAGTACCACAAGTTTTCTATATTTCCTATTGGCATAAAAATCTCTATAAGGCTAAAAGACTCCTAGAAAGCATAAGATGTAAATTAAATGTATTAACAAGACTAAAATATATTCCCAACTAATTGGTAGTATCAATTAAACAATTTTTTTTCTTTCATTATGCCATATCTCTCGCCAAATCAGCATTGATTCCATGAGATGGTAGGTGT